CTCTGAGGCCATCTAGCAGGAGATCAGGTACAGCCCAGCATGGGAGGAGCAGGCGAGGTTCAGTGGCTCAGGTGAGTGTGGGTCCCTCATGGGGAGCGCATCTGTCAAGGTCTTCCCCCTTCCCCCTCTGTCCCCTCTGTGCCTGTCCCTGGGCCAGCCCTGCTGCTGTCCGCAGGCTCTGGGAGAGTTTGGGAGCCCTTCTCTGAGGCCATCTATGAGGAGATCAGGTACAGCCCAGCATGGGAGGAGCAGGCGAGGTTCAGTGGCTCAGGTGAGTGTGGGTCCCTCATGGGGAGCGCATCTGTCAAGGTCTTCCCCCTTCCCCCTCACCCATGGCTGAGCCCCTGCAGTCCCCTGGCCCATGGTCCCTGCAGCTCTGGGGCTGTGGGGAGAGCACCCAGGTCCTGGCACCAAGAGAGGAGCTTCCTCCCCACTGCTTCTTCCCGTCCCATCCGGGGACAGCCCCTCTCTGCCTGCCCCTGCACCCCTGGGTGAGACCTGAGGGGTGAGGGAAGGGGCTGTCGCGGGGCAGTTCTGAGAGCCCCTGTGAGAGTTTGTCCCAGGGGACCAGGCTGAGTCTGTGGGTCCCCCGTCCCCAGCAGCACTGAGCACCAGCCTGCTCAGCAGAGTGCACTCCCATAACACCCGCTGCGCCTTTCACCAGGCTCCTATTCCCAGGGGTCCTTGACCAAGCTGCAGCCCTACCCCGGGGACAGAAAGAAGGAGGATGGTCCGAGATCAGCACCAGGTAATAGGGTGTGGGAAGGAGTGGCACAGTGCTGTCACTGGATGTCACCATTGGAGGTGGGGAGAACACAGCTGGGGAGTCTCCTGTGCTGCCGCCAACACCAGTGTCTGTGCCCCATGTCCCTACACATCCTCCCATCCTCTGCTGTGCCAATGAATCTTCTCAGTGTCATCAGGTCCCCTCTCCTTTCAGATGTCCCTGTCCTGCCTGAGGGTGACCCAGCCGATGGCTATGATGATGCCAGGGAGGTTTCTGAGCCAGAGGAGGATCCTTCCCCTGGGCAGGGAGACTGGGAAATGCCCAGGGCACCCGAGGAGGCAGCAGGAGCCAGGGATGCCCCTGGAGGTGAGACGGAAAGATGGTGCTGCTGGATTATGAGGTGCCATCCCTGATTCTGCATGAATCACTGCTGTCCTGAGAGCCCAACCTCCTGGGATGGGGGAATGTGCCCCAGGAGTTTTCCTTGGGGGTCCGGGGGTGGGAGAGGGAGCTGACCATGTCAGGAGTGGTGAGGGGAAGGGAGGATGATGATGTACAGAGCAGGAGGGGCACCCCGTGGGGTGAGTGTGCCATGGCCTGCCTTGCTGCTTGCAGGGGCAAACCTGCACCCCCAAAGTGCTGGGGCCCCTGGGGCTAAGGGAGATGCCTGCTGCCTGCCCCCAGAGAGCACAAGCTATGATGATGCTGAAGAGGTGTGTCTGGCACATCCCCCGGAGGACACAAAGGCTGAGACACTGAAGCTCAACGCACACCAGTCCCTCAGACCTGGGCCAGGACAGCCCAGCCCTGCTGTGCAGCTGGGGGCAGCCGGGTGGGAGGAGAGGGCTGTGCAGCTGGGAGAGCCCTGAGCACCCTCTCCCTTCTCCCATGGGCAGCACAAACAGCCCGGCATTTCCTCCATTTTGATTCCCCTGGATTTGCATCGTGCTGCCATCTTTGTTCGTATTAAAAGCCCTTGGGGGTTTGAGCTGTAGCTGGTGTTTGCCTGCCCAGGTATTGGGGTGTCTCCTTGAGGATGATGGGGAGGAGCAGAGAACAAAGCCATGGTGGTGGGGAAGGGACAGATGTAACAGGGTAATATTGTGGGGCTGTGAGAGCCCATGGTCCCTGGGGAATATTCCTGATGAGAGAGACATTTCCATCCTGCCAGCCACAGTTTCCAGCAAAAACTTGCTCTCAGCAAGGTCCCGTAAGTGCCCATCTCTTAACCCTAGGGTTCCTCAGTTGGTTTTTCCCCCAGGCCCTGCCTGGTCCAAGCTGGTGCCATACAGAGAGGCCACAACAGAGCTGCTGTTTGGGGTGATCCCAGGGCTGTGGCCTCACAGCAGTTAGCCCTAAGGTGGCTGTGGTGCACAGGACTCCCCAGCCAGCCCCATGGGGGTATCACGGCTGGTGCATCACCTCCCACAGTGGTTAGGAGGAGCTGGGGCACATGGGGCTGGCATTGTCCCTTGGCTGGCTCTGCCAGGACCCCAAACTCCATGGGCTGTTCCTGCTGCCTTGAGCCCTCCCAGAGCACCACCCTTCTGTGCCAGGTCTGTCCCCAACTCCACAGCATGAGCACAGCAACAGGGTGAAAAAAACGCCCTCCCTGGGGTGAGGTGCCTAGGCTCTGATGGCCTCCCCGGGGTGTGTGGTGGGAGGAACATGGGGACAGAAACCTCATATCCAGGTGCAGGGCCTCTCTCTGCATCCCTCTTCTCACCAGAATCCATGGAGGTGGGGTGGGGTGAAGGGCAGGCTTCCATCTCCATGAAGCTGATGCCCAGAGAGGAGCACGTCTAGGTTTCATCAATCACTGCAGCAGGGGGGCAAAGGGGGCCAAGAAACTCTGGTCAGGACAGCGTGTGACTAAATAACACTGGTGCCCATGCACTCCAGTTGATGTTCCTCAGCACGGCTTTGTCAGTTGTCCTGGGTACATCAAAGGTCTTCCTGCAACAGACCTCTGCAGGGAGGATGCTGCCATTCCGGCCTCAGCTCCAGGGAGGATACAGAGAAGGCGAAGCTACTGAATGCCGCCTTTGCTTCAGTCTTCACTGCCAAGGCTGGCCTTCAGGCTTCCCAGTCCTTGGAGGTAAGTGAGAAAGCCTGGAGAAAGGATGACCTTCCCTCGGTTGAGATGGATCAGGTTAGGGATATTTTAAGTAAGCTGGACACCCACAAATCCATGGGCCCTGACGGAATGCACCCACGAGTGCTGAGAGAGCTGGCAGATGTCATTGCTGAGCCACTCTCCATCATCTACGAAAGGTCCTGGAGAACAGGAGAGGTGCCTGAGGACTGGAGGATAGCCAATGTCACTCCAGTCTTCAGAAAGGGCAAGAAGGAGGACCCAGGGAACTACATGCCGGTTGGTCTCACCTCTGTCCCCAGAAATGTGATGGAACAACTCATTTTGGGTGTCCTCTCCAAGCAAGTAGAGGAAAAGAAGGTTTTCAGGAGTACCCAGCATGGATTCAGCAAGGGGAGGTCATGCCTAACCAATCTGATAACCTTCTATGATGGGGATGTTGGCTCCCTTGACTTGAGCAAGGCTTTTGGCACTGTCTCCCATAACATCCTCATAGGGAAGCTTGGGAAGTGGGGGTTGGATGAGTAGACAGTGAGGTGGATTGGGAACGGGCTGAAGGACAGGGCTCAGAGGGTTGGGATCGGCAGGGCAGAGTCTGGTTGGAGGCCAGTAGCTCATGGGGTTCCCCAGGGCTCAGTATTTGGCCTGGTCTTGTTCAACTTATTCATCAATGACCTAGACGAGGGGACAGAGTGTACCCTCAGCAAGTTCACCAATGACATGAAACTAGGAGGAGTGGCTGATCCACCGGAAGGCTGTGCTGCCATTCAGCGGGACCTGGAGAGGCTGGAGAGTTGGGCAGAGAGGAATCTGATGAAGTTCAACAAGGGCAACTGTCGAGTGCTGCACCTGGGGAGGGTAAACCCCATGCACCACTACAGGCTGCTGGAAAGCAGCTCTGCCCAGAGACATCTGGGAGTCCTGGTGGACGAGAAGCTGACCATGAGCCAGCAGGGTGCCCTTGTTGCCAAGAAGGCCAACAGCATCCTGGTGTTCATTAAGAGAAATGTGGCCAGCAGGTCGAGGGAGGTTCTCCTCCCCCTCTACTCTGCCCTGGTGAGACCCCACCTGTGTCCAGTTCTGGGCTCCCCGGTTCAAGAAGAATGAGGAACTCCTAGGGAGAGTGCAGAGGAGGGCAACAAAAATTATCTGAGGGCTGGAGCACCTCTCCTGTGAGGACAGGCTGAGGGAGTTGGGGTTGTTCAGCCTGGAGAAGAGAAGGCTGCAGGGCAGACCTGATTGCGGCATTTCAGTGCTTAAAGGGAGCCTATAGGAAAGATGGGGACAATCTTTTTAGTAGGGCCAGCTGTGACAGGACAAGGGGTGATGGTTTTAAACTAAACCAGGGGAGGTTTAGACTGGAGACAAGGAAGAAATTCTTTACACTGAGGATGGTGAAACTCTGGCACGGGTTTCCCAGAGAGGTGGTGGAGGCCCCATCCCTGGAAACATTTAAGGCCGGGTTGGACAGGGCTCTAAGCAGCCTCATCTGGTTAGCGGTGTCCCTGCTCCCTGCAGGGGGGTTGGACTAGATGACCTGTAATTCTAGCCCTAGAACTACAAACCCAGAATCAAATGCCTCTTTCATTCAGTTGATCATATCCTCCAAGCTTGGAGAAATTAGATCATTCCCTGTCACCTTCCTGGTCTCCTGTCAAATGATGGGACATAACAAGTGATCCTCATGTCCAATGGTTTTACTAAAAGGAGTAGCCTCTCCCCAGCTGAGGGAGGGAACATCAGGGATTCATTCAGCCTGTGTCACAGCAGGTTCCCCTGCAGCCCCAGGGACACCTGGAGGGAGCCCAGAGGGAGCAGAGCAAGCACTGCCTTGGGCTGGTCCTCTGCTGCTGAGCTGGGCTGGGCTCCTGGGATGGAGGGAGCTGATGGCAAGTGGGCAGTGCTGCT